ATATCTGTGATGTATGTAATGACTTTTGAAGGTTTCAGTCGTTCCATTTTCCAAAATATCAGACTTTCACTGAACACTTAAAGATGAATTCCATAAGATATGAGATAGAGATGACCGATACCTAATGAAAATCCATGACAAAGCATTTAATTAACAATTTATTGTGAGATTTCAGTTCAGAAATCCGCGAGGCGTGTTTCACTTTACATCTTTGTGTTGATGTAGTTTCCGTGAGTGCATTACACACCTTCCCGTCAACCATTGTGAGTAGCAATTTGAAATGTACCTCAATATGTGTGTTATTGAATTCATGTGTCAGTGGCCGCGATTGCTGTATTTGTGCATCTATATATTCTCTTTCCCGTCTGGATAATCCTTGGGTTTCATGTTGGAACTGAAATCTTATTGGTCTACAATACCGTGTAGAGGAACTTGTGTTCTGCCAAACAATAATTTCCTGTTGTTCTGAGGTTTTTTCCGATATCAGTCTTATAGGTACAAGAGAGGAAATGAAAATATTTGCATCTTTGGCATTTAGATCACTGACGAAATTTTGTTTATATTCTGCTTATCCTGATCCATCAAAACCCCACTTACAAATTAAAATCGATTTCTGAAAGGTCTTGGGTATCTTGCTACTCAAAACTGCGTGCTGAGCATCCAGGAGGCGTGATGCGGTATGATTGAGAAGAGCTTGCAGTTGTACTTCGGCAGAAGTCTCTGTTACTATAATGCTGTCCTTATTGGGATAACATTCCTTTTTCGCCGCTTGAATCTTCTTATAGGATGGAAATCTCTCCTTATCTTGCTCTCTTATTATATTATATTGGTGTCTTGTCAGTTGGGCCTCGACATACATAGCCAGAGCCTCTGCTCCTTGAGTTGTCGCTTTTTGGGTACACTATAAGACTTGAAAGCAGTTTTATACTTCTTCCCTCGAGTCGAAGTTCTTTGAGTGATATCATTCACCACACTTACTGTTGCAACTCGACCAGAACATCGCAAACTCATATGAGAGGCGAAAGATAATTCTTCGGCGAGAAGGTTTTTCTTAGGGACTCCGTTTTTGACGTTTCGTTCTCTCTGAAGATGCGCTGAAAGTAATTTGAAGTCTACCTGCTTTCTTAGATGAAATGATCAAATTCGGAAAACTTTTTGAAGTATTCAGCCAGTTTTCGTTTTTCATAACAAATCTGTCATGAATTCAATTAGATCTCTGCCATCTTTTCTTGAAATTCATGGCAAAGAACGAAATTTTTTTATGAAGTGCAGGTAAACCTTGTTTTGGACACTTTGTACGCATATCGACGAAATTTTTCTCAACAATTGGTATATTTGGCACCAGTGTGCATCGGCTACGGAGGTACATCTTCTCCGGCAGCAGGAGGTTGCATATTTTAATGAGGATCTAGAAATGGTTTCGAAATGATAAATGTCTCCGAATCGGATATAATAATGTCAGGTCAGACAATTCCGCTTTCTACTTCGATAAGTTTGTTGGGAGTTAGAATGGACACCAATATGTCTTGGCACAATCATGTCGCTGGAATTGCAAAGGCTGCTTCCCAAAAGCTTGGAATACTGTTCCGAACTAGACGCGAACATCACTTGCAACCTTGATAATCTGGAACATCAAAGAAAGGTTGGAGATTTATCTCTCTTCTATAGATACTTTCACGGGAAGTGTTCAAATGACTTGGCACATTTGATTCCAACCAAGAGTGGAACATATCAGAAATACGTGACGGACTGTGGCTGCTCATCGTTTTGAGGTTCAACTCAGTTCACCTCGAACTTCACTGTTCAAGAACTCTTTCATTTGGAGAACTGCGTTTATGTGGAATAAATTTCCTGAAAACGTTTTTTCAAATGGATTTAATCCACAGCGATTCAAATCCAATGTGAATCGCTACTCAGAGCTCTTAGAGCGCCTTGAGGATGTTCCTGTATAGCTTTTGTTTTGTCCTAAAAAAAGAGTTCAAGGCCGAACATGCCTGAAAAAAGTGCAGTGAAGTGAAATACATGTTTCGGTTTTACTAACTGTTAAATAGAAAACGCACAATAGTGTGTTACCTAAATACACGAATACTATAAGGAAGTATGGTCGGTGCGAGTTTCATAAAATTGTGAATGAAGTTATAAAATTATATATGTATGTGTGAGATATGCTGCTCATTGGGAGGTGATTAATAGCTTCCTGGCTGCACCACTTAACCTCTAAAGAAGGTGTCTCATAATATTTCCTCTTCGTTTTGTGTACTCCTTGGTATTTTTTCAAGGTTACTTATTGGAGAGTACTTTTTAAAGTCTAGCATATACTCGTAGATTCGTTTTTTGAAACTCTTCGCATTGTCTCCTCCTTGAGTCTATTAGATTTCCTCTGGGATTTGTTATAGTTAGTTAGGGACTTCTTAGATAGACCCTATATATCTGATTCCCTTGTACTTTCAATGTAGAATAAGTTTAAATAATGATGCCAACTTGGTTACTGAACTAGTTTTTCTCATAGCGCTACCTCAGTTAGTGAAATGCGCTTCTAAGATAGTATTGCAGTTCTGGTATAGCAGTGTTTAGGTTCTATCATACCTTCCAATTTTATAAAACCAATCAATATAGTTTATTGCATGATTTTTCACTATAAAAGCATAAACTATGCTTGAAGAAGCTATTGTATAGCGAAACACGTGTCGCGGTTTTTGTAAAACCCTTTTATAGTGAAAATTCTTCAATAAACTATATTGATTAGTTTTTTAATATGGATTTTCATCAAGTATCGACCAGTTCTATTCAATTCTTCTAATTTTATTTTAACGTCAATATACCAATATTATCACGACTCTAATACATGAAAAATCCCTCAAAGGAACATGTTTTACATTCACTGTCATTCAACTCAGTATTTCATTTTGATGTTCGTAATTAATAAAATGATTTCCAATATTGAAACAAAATGTTCAATCTAATGTAGTATGTACCAAATCACAAAATTCCAAGGGTGAATTATTTTAATTTTTCAGTTGTATAATAGAATGTAGCTATTTTTATTTGCTTTCATGACAACTTCCAAAATCATGAAATTAGTAAACAACAACAAAAATTTATTGTCGCTTCGGGGCGACTTCATTGATTCCAGTGGCGCATTTGCTTTTTCAGCTGCAGGAAAACCTCGAAAAACCTGCTGCACCACATCATCTGAAGATCTTGATCTGCCAATGTCCTCTCTTTCATGAAACAAAATGTAAGGTGTTTCCAGAGGCTCTATTAAATTCATTACATCGCCTGAACACTTGGTGACACTATCGTCAAACTTAAATCAGTCCGTTTCGTTTTTGACCAAGGCGTAATAAGGACCAGATTCAACGCCAGAACCACAGTGACAAATGACTGCATGAAGATTATAATAGTGGTCTGCTAGATTGAAGTATTCATCTATTTCGAACCTTCGTAAAAGTTTGGTGCTTCCGTCAGAATTGAAGTCATGTTTGAAGATCATCAGAGTTATATTTAGATTACCTGGTGCCTCAGCTATACTTGTTTTCTTATAACAGTCAGTTAGTTTGGCGGTTTAACAATAAGCTTTGCACGGACTGGTTAATAGTCATATTAGGAAACGCTAGTTGAAGTTTCAGAAATTCACATACATTTTTGCCACCTCTTGAACATTTACTACAAAGTAAACAAGAGGGGAGTTTTCCAGCAAAAGATTCACAAACACAAGACGGGGTAGACTATAAGGAATAATTCAATTCAGAGCAGTCAGGAGTATTGATTATGCTATTTTTGTGATCACGAATGCATCTATATTCAATATGCACAGTTCAAAGATTTTCAAAATATTTTTCTTAGCATGACTGGCACAATTGGAACCTCTGATTCTGAATCTGATGAAAACATTTTTCCATAAACGTGTTTCTCTAAACAAGTCAGCATCTTCAAAAGATGACAAATATTTAGTCAACTCCTAAAACTTTCATGTATCTCCTGATGATGGCATATTGGTTATCGTAAGTCGTGTGTATGGCAATAATGTTTCCTTTATATACTTTTTTTACTCCTATCGAATGATTTACAATAATATCTTGTGGCTCATAGATTACTTCGAATTGGTGAAGTCGTATGACTGAGTCATATACTGAGAAAGTTATTCCTGGCCACATTGGATTCTAGAAATAGTCGACCTGTACTGGTCGACTTGTACTGTAGTGGAAACTTCAAGTGTGATAAGTGAAATTGATCTGTGACTTCGTGATCTGTTTCGCTTTCTGAAAGACATTTCACAGATTTTCAATTACTTTATACATATTACTAGTGTTATTTCTATTTTCATTATCAAACTGACTGAAATGCCAGCCAGTAAATTTTTTTCATGTTATTTTACTTGTTTATTTATCCATTTGTTGGTGGTTACAATTTACACACTTCAGAATTGCAGAATATATGATTATACATTGATAAAGATTTTCTTCATTTAAACAATCCCCAATTTTCCTTATCGCCTTGAAAACAGTTTTTGTCGCACAGTTTTTTCTCAGATCCTTGCAATAACTATTCAAAAAATACGGTGCTTATATTGTCTTGTTTTCTGACTTTATACAGTTGCCAAGTATAAGTCTCTATCGTCTTCACGAATAAAGGCAGATTTAGACGTATCCAGTAGCTGGCGACAGTCTCACTGGCCGCCAGCGCTGGCGTAGTAATTGGCTCCATGTAAATACTTTTTCGTGCCAGTTCAGCGATGTCCGACAGCGCTGTCTCGAATAGAGAACCCGTCTATTTTTGCTGCCAGCAGCCCTCACCCGCGTCCCCCCGAACACCTGAGCCAGTGTTACGGAAACGTCTAAACACTTGGTGACAGTCGTTGGCGCACCTCTGTAGAGTGAACAGTGGCTGCGGTGAAAAATGACACGGAAACTAAGTGAAATAGAAACGTTAAAGTTGGTTCAATCCTATAGAGAACACGAATGTTTATGGAATCTGCGTTGTGATGCGTATAAAAACAAAGAAAAGCGCACATCAGCTCTAAAACAAATTAAAGAAGATATGCAGATAGCAGGACTTACTATTGCAGAAGTAAAAACTAAATTCAAGAATATCCGGAGTACGTACTAATTAGAAATCAATAAAATTGAAAAATCAACAAGGTCTGGTGCTGGAGGCAACATTTATGTGCCGAAGGTGAAGTGGTTTGATGCATTTATCAAGAATGCAGCAGTACGACGAACGACTATGGTAAGTAAGATATTATATGGTTTATTACCTCCATTCTCACAAAAAAACTACAGGATATGCATAACCGAAATAAAGAGGTAATTTTAAGGTAATTGCTACAACTGCTACTCTATGTTAACAATATAATAACATGAACATTCATTTCAGTCATTATTCTTTTGCTGTTTTATGAATTTGGTTTCGTTTGTCTATGTTTTCATTTGTTTTGAGGAATTATGCGGTGAGTTATATGAATTATCTCTATAAGAAAAAATCTTCTACCAGCATCATTTTTAATTCCAATTGAATGTAAGCTATTGTTTTGCAATAATGTATCACATTCAAGAAAATGAATATATTTATACCAACATTAATAGTATTGTGGTATTGAAGATCAACTTATGCTTCTCAGTTGCCAAGGAACATTTCCGTTGGTGACGAAAAAAGTCTTGTACTCTTCTCTATGCGCTCTGGCAATAAGTGCTGAATGATTGCTGCCTTGGTTTGCAATACTATGCAAGGACTGAATTTCGTTCCTCCATGAACCTGGCAGAACATGTCTTTGTTCATCTTCCCTATCTACACAAGTTGTAGTGATATAAGATGTTGACTTTTTCCGTAGCCAATTGTGTAGTACACAAGCTGCACACACGATTGAATCTACTGTGTCAACCTTTGTAGGTATTGGCTTTTCAAATTTTCGGAATCTACTAACTAAGATCCCAAAATCATTCTCTATTATACGTCTGGAACGTGATAACCTGTAGTTGAAAACTTTTTGTTCTAAATCGAGATTAGTTCCTGGATATGGCTTCATTAAATATGGCTTAAGTGAAAATGCCGCATCTCCGACAATAACTCCGTTTTCGGGCAATAAGCCATTTTCCAATGATTGGTAAAGTGAACAGTTCTTGAAAATGCCTCCATTAGATGCACTGCCAGTTGCACCAACATTGATGTCTGAAAAGCAGTAATGGTGATCTGCAATAGCTAAAAACACGATACTGTTTGTTTTTTTATAATTGAAAAATTGACTGCCAGCATTCGGAGGAGCTTTGATCAACACATGCTTTCCATCTATCGCTCCATAACATGTGGAAACATTCCATTTTGTTCTAAACCCACATTCCATAATTTTCCCTTCCTCTTCTGTAGAGGGAATCTGAAAAAAAATGTCGTAATTAGTAATTACATTACTTTTCTGTCATTTTTTTCTTCTGTTTCAGGACAATATACAAAAGAATAATAATGATAGTGACTTTTCCAACAATCAGGTTCGTTTGCCAGATGCACTGCGCCCAGAAAACGAGTCTCAGGTTGCTCAGCCAGGTACACCATACACCATGTACGGAAAATGAGTCTCCGGTTGCTCCGCAATGTACGACGCGCTCAGCATATGGGTCACCTGCAGAAAAACTGACACCGCCCATGAGATCTGAGCGCAGCAAATTATCTCAAATGGCTTCAATGATTAATGATTTAAAACATATAAACGATGACAATATACCGATAACCGAAGAAACTGAATATGATATCTTTGGAAAGAGTGTTTCATCACAACTGAAAAAGCTGTCAGAGGAACAGGCCATTATCGTCCAGGAAAAGATACAGAGCAAATTAACGCAATGCAGACTTGCTCATTTGAGAGCCAATACGTTCAATACAGCAGCTACCCAAAATCCTCAACGTTCCCTATCGATGCACCAATTACAAAATACTCAGTTCTCCCAATGGATTTCAACACAATCTAATACAACTGACCAATATTGCTAATCAAGCTTCCAGCCAACTCTAACTTGTCCACCGCCAGAAGTTAGTCCACCTAACACTTCAACTTCGTCTACTTTTAGTTTCCACCACGACGAGAACAGTCAGTTTGCACAGTCTCCTCAAGGTAGCTCCGATGACCACACAACATCTGTTGATATAATACAACTTGCTTTCAATACTGCAACTTGAAATGAAATAAAAACTCACCTTAATAAATCGTTTCAATGCTGCATAAATTGCTCGACAAACTTCGGGTATAAATTGTGACATAGAGGGTTTGGAAACACGGTACATATGACTCAGGCTTCGGTAAGACATACCAGTAGCTAGGTATGACAACATTACTTCTAGTTTTATTTTTGCCGGTAATGCCTCTCTCATCACAGTATCTTGATGTTGAATCGAGCTTTCTATGCTTTCTATCAGTGATAGCAACTCGTCGAAATTTTCTGACAACGCCAACCTGTACTCAGAGGGATCTTCTACTCTTAGTTAATATAGCAAAGTCGAACCTCCCGTTATAGTTCTATGGCAGATCCAGTTTCTTAACCATATTCTTTTTTTCTTTAATATTTCTTCCTCCAACATATCAGTAAGCTCCTGTAATAATAGGGCGGACATTTTCTCAACACATTTTCTTTTAAACCGTCGACTTTGCTCAACATTCATTTTTGTAACGCACCTGTTCACAGGCAAACATTCACGAAACACTGGACTCATGTAAACGACCTGGTTCAGCGCTAGCCGTGTCATAGCTGGCGTGACAGTGAAACTGTCGCCAGCTACTGGATACGTCTAAATCTACCTTAACCGACAAAACTTTATTCAATGTTGGTATTTCGTTTTTTTATGTAAAAAGAGTATACTGTTCTCCTGATAGAATTTTTGACTTCTTTGTCAATAACTAAACACTTTCTGCCAGCGGATACTTTTGGCTCTAAAAAGCTGTTGTTTTCCTTGAAAAATCCAAACTTGTACGAGCGTTGTGTGAACCGTGAATCACCAGTTCACACAGTCGTCGATTGAATGAGTGGAACAAACCACTCATTCCACCGCATTTGGTTACCGTCCCGCCAACCAATCCAGCTACCTGAAACAGAAGAGAAAGCTGAACAATATGTTTTTTTTTTCTCAATGCAGGTGTTGTAACAGATTTACATGAATACCGTTCCTTTACCTATCTATACATAAGAGGGTCACTTTCATTTTCAATCATACGCACAAATCGGTTTGAAATTCTCTCGAAAAAGTTTCGCTAATTTCAAGATAAGTTCAGAATGAAAGTTTTGTCACCGTTTTATATACCCTTATTGGACAAACAAAAGACGATAACATGAAGATGCCTGCTGTGGAATCGACAGAAAACTCAATCCGTCTGTATTCTTGATGAAAAAGGTTCTCAAATACGATACAAATCGAAACAAATCTTCAATATGGACCAATGAACGAGATTCGTCTTTTATCTTTTGCTGAACCACGAATGCATTGGTTTTTTTTGAGGACAAAACACAAGCACTACAGGAAAATCCTTAAGGCGCTCTCAGAACAGTACCTGTGCGAATTTAGCGATTCACATTGGATTTGAATCGCTGGAGATTAAATCCATTTGGTAAAACGTTCTCAGGAAGTTTATTCCACATAAACACAACTCTCCAAATGAAAGAGTTCTTAAACAGTGAAGCTCGAGGTGTACTAAGTTGAACCTCAAAAGGATGAGTAGCCATAGTCCGTCACGTCTTTCTGATATGTACCGCTCTTGGTGGAATCAAATGTGGCAAGTAACTCAAACACTTCTCTTGAAAGTATCTGTAGAAGAGAGACAAATCTCCAACCGACAAATCTCTAACCTTTCTTTGATGTTCCAGATTATCAAGGTTGCAAGTGATGTTCGCGTCTCCAATCAGGCGGATGGTTCTTTTCTGGATGGAATCCAACAACTTCAGGGCATGCTTTTAGGGCGAAGTGCCACTGCCTAAATGGATTTAGGTAGTATGGAAAAATAAAACGCATTCAGTTTCAGAACTCAAAACGGGTTTTAAACAAAAATAGGCATTACTGAAAGTATGTGAAACTATGAAATCACTGGTATTTACATAAATCACAAATAAACTCAGTGTCCTCCTCTTCGGCTCCTGTGCAGGCTTCGTGAGCATATTTGAGGCACCCAGAACATCTAATCCAACCTTCGTTGTCCTTGGATTTCGAGTAACAATCACCACAGAATAAAAAATCGACGTCGCTGACGCTGCCTTTATCATTATCATTATAGAGATCGTCATTCTTTTTCTTAAACAATGCGCGTTTTCCTTTATTTTCAATTTTAGCCACCCTTTTCTTAGGAGCCTACTGTTTCTTTTAGATTTCTTTTTTTGCTTCTAGTCTACGTTGTTTCGCATTCTCTTTATCTTTTTTTCTTTCCTAATTGCCATAAGAGTGGCCTTATATGGACTGGATGTTAGAACTGTTGCTGTTACTTTCTTCCGCTTAGTTTCTCTTTTGATAATCCTATTGATCTTGGGTACAGGAACAATTTCACGTGGAATTACAGCAAATGAAGTGAACATCTTGTTTGGTGGACTGTTCAAATTTGAAGTTGCTTCTAGGGAACCAGCTGATGAAGTGCTGGGAATAGACGGATCAAATATGGCAGAAGGAAGCCCACTGCTAGACCTGATTGGATGATCAACAGAAGGTAGGTATACCATTATGAAGGCGGTATTTGGGTTTTCAGAACCACCAATGAGTTCTGTTGAGCTACTGTTGTTGACAGTCTGAGATGAAGATGTACAAACTTGTATGATGGTGTTCTCTTTTACTGGCGCAGGGTCTTCTTGTAGAGTTATTTCTGTTGTTTCAGCAGCTGCCTAATCCAGTTCTGTAAATACATTTCTGTCGATTGGGACGATTCCACATTTTCTAAAGCCTTTCATGGCGATAACTGGTGTAGCTGCCTTCAAAAATGCTTCACCAAGTAGCCGGGAAACCTGGAATTGAGTCACTGTCCGTCCTGAATTATTTCTTAAGAACTTTTCAATGCTTTGTACAAAATACGTTTTGAAAGGTGCCATAAACGCAACATCGAGTGGCTGTATTTTATGACTGCAGTGGGGGGGAATGCAGAAAACAGTGACATGATTATCTCTGGCTTTTTCGATGAAGTCTCAGTTGTTCCTGTGAGTTGCATGACCGTCTAGTACCAGAAGAATCGGGTCGTCTTTTGTTGGCTTTGAAAATTTTAAGAAGTGGTCAAACCATGAGGTGAATATTTCCATTTGCATCCAACCAGTAGAATGACATGCAGAAGCTGATCCAGGAGGTGCACCATCTTGCAGTTCAACTTTCATTCTACGCCTTGGTAAAACCACAAAGGGTGATATAAATGTCCCCCCAGCCGAAACACAGACTACAAAATTCGAAAGAGTGCTTCGTTCAGCAGATGTAAAAGAGCCGACTTGTCGCCGACCTTTTAGAGCAAAGACCTTGGACGACTTGAACTGGACTGTTTAGAGTCCAGTCTCATCAACATTGTACACCCTATGAGGTGGGAATACGTGATCTTTCTGAATGCCTTCCAAAATGTCAAAAAACATTGATACATTAGTTTTGTTAAACGCTTGAGCTCGTGCAGATGAAGTCGCCTCAGGCTTCCGTAATGCAATCATAGGTTGGGTTTTCTAAATCCCTGTACCCAATCTTTCCCAGCAGTTTTTTTTTCATGACTAAAGTTATGAGGTATGCAATTTTTAACAGCGAGTTTGTAGGCAAGAGCCTGTAGATCAGCGACTGTTACACCAAAAAAACGGACTTCCATGTCCAAAAGATGGTTAACTATTTCTTTTTCCTGCCCCTCAGTAAATATGGGCCAAAAGTGACCTTTTTCCTGCCCCTCAGTGAATATGGGCCAAAAGTGACCAAGAACCTTTTTTGTGTTTACTGCTTGATGAACATTTTTGTCGAGTGCGCGCCGTTTTAAAGTATTTCGAGGTACCTGGAACCTTTTAGCTGCGGTTTGCCAAGGCAACCCGTCCTTCTTCACTGCATCAATGGCCTTTTGCATAGCTTCAGAGTTCCAGGACTGATGAGCGGTTTTCCTTTAATACTTGGACACCATACTGTTCTTCTTCTGTAAAAAAAAAAACACGGAATTAGAATAACTGAAGTTTGCCGTAATCTTGCTCTTGATATTATAGGCGTACTTATTTTTTTTTTGTGATAAATGCAGTTTCAAAAATCAAGTTTTATGCAAAATACATTGCGAGCAAAGTGGACACATTCTCGGGCAAAGTGGCCACGGCTGTGGCCACTTTACCCTCTAGCACGCCAATTTCTAAATACAATATTTTACGTACAACTCGTTGTAGTATCTACTGTTGAGACATATGAATTCAAAGCTAGAAACATGTTGTTTTGCACGATTGATGTACAATTACTTCACCTAGGCCTACAATGAAATAAAGCGAAACATGTGATGCACTCACCTAACATCAGAGGGTCGAAAAAGTGGAAAATTTGCGATATCTCGGTGATAATGGGTCTGAGCGGCACCAAATTACAACACAATAACAACGGCTGCCGGGTGAGTAGTTGTGACTATTGCCGCGAGGCTACAGCACTATACAGGGAAGAAAACTTCAAGTGGCAACTTTACCCGCAGTGGCCACTATGCCCACCCTTCCCCTACATGATTGTGACAGATTGATGTCCATTTTAACCCCCAACAAACTTATCGAACTAGAAAGCGAAATTATCTGATTTGACATTATTATATCCGATTCGGAGACATTTATTATTTTGGAGAAAACCGTTGCCTGAGTTTTTGTAGCATTGAATTGAACCTGGTTATTTTCAACCCAATTCGAAATCACTTCTAGATCCTTATTGAGATACACAACCTCCTGCTGCCGGTAAAGATGTGCCGGTGAAGAAGGCACATAAAAAGAGAGTTGGAGACAATATGGATCTCTGGGGAACACCAGCGTTGATGGTGAAAGTACTCGAGAGATATCCATCGACGGCCACTTGCAGGGAACGTTTTTTCAGAAAGCTGAAGAGCCATACACAAAAATGATCGGACATGCCATAGCATCGAAATTTGGCCAGCAAACCCTCATGCCACACACGGTCGAAGACCTTAGAAATATCAATCTCCACAGATCTTGATTCTCCATGCCTTATTCCAAATATGGGTGAC